TCTCAAGTCTTCTTATTGGCATTTTATTGAAACTTGGGAAATAAAAGTGCCATACAATCAAATTAAAAAAAATAAATCATTAAAGTCAGGAGAACATTATTTCAAAATGTGAAGGTTCTTGTGAAAATAATCACCCATGCTTTGTACTTAATATGAAACTATCTGAATCTTAATGACTATTTGTAAGTAGGAGTGCTACTTTCTTTTTAATAGTCCTGGTTCTATGACTGGAATAATATCTAACCACATATTAAAACAAATATTTGTACAGAAATCTAGATGGCTTTAATGAAAAAGTATAAAATCTGAACAATGAATAACTCTTCATATGCTTTTCCTACTATAGCTTAAAATTGAGAGAATACTTTGGATCTGAAGAAGGCTTAGCATCTAGGTAATTATAAATTCCCTGGTTCATGAAATCTCTTCCCAATAAAGTTCTTCAATCATTTCACATTGGTGTGAAAAGTTTAATTATCATAAATATTCCTTACACTTATATGTTCAGGAAAACAAGACATATTCAGGAATTATTTTAAAACCAGAGGAGTGTATCCAAGTCTGAGTCAGTTGCATGCCCTTCCTGTTTTGGATCCATAAACTACACTTTTGGATCATTTCAATATTTTCAAAAGAAGGTTGCAATATCTATAATTGTGCACTTTTGACTTAATTGGGCAAACACACAGTCCTAACAGAAAATAATTCTCCTTCCTGCAGTGTTTTGAAATCACTGTAAATCTTTGTAATAAATACACTTATAAACACAGGCTTTACTGGTATCCAGAGAACAATATTCTATTTTGATTGCCTGTAGCAAACAGCACTAAATGGTGTTTGGCAGGATGAGATTAACTGACACAATATATTTCTTGTGGATGGAAACTGAGGGTAAAAAGCAAACATACTATGTACAGAAAAAAAGATAGTGGCTTTTTGAAGGCCTTCCTCTGTTAGGACATGTTTATCTGGGAAAATGTTATACAAAAGTGTAGTATAACAAATATGCAAATACATTTCATATGAGATCAAAGTAATAAATGCATTCTTCTTTAACTAGTCAGGGACTGGCGTACACTTTTTTAAGATACAGGGAAATATTGGAAGATTGTTCTGTGCCTTTACATTATGGAACTTGATGGCCTCTAATAAAGGGGGAGACGGCGGTATTATATTTTGGTTGTCCTTACCTTGGTTGGCTCATAAACTTTTTGCTTTCTTTCTGCAACCTTGTACTCTCCAAATGTGTTGGGATTATAACCAGGATGGTACTATTTTAGATCTCTTCTCTTGGGGCATGTTCCCTTTCTGGTTCTTGCTGCTTTTAAGATTCCCACAAAAATGGTTTCTCACCTACTTTTAAAAATTCATGCAATATAAGGGCTACAAATGTGGCCCAGTGGGGGGTTGAGGTGTGGCTTTCAAAGGGCCCCAGTGTGAAGCTGAAATATTCCAACCTTTTAAAAAATTTTAAGGTGCCCATTTTTTTATACTTAAGATACTCAGTTTACTCCTTAACCCACTCCCCAAGCACCAAAAATGAAAAATCTGGAGACTTCCCTTTCCCATTTGCTATTTGATCTTCTTTGAAACAGGAAGGAAGGTAGCAGTGCATTATCCTAAAATGGTGAAAAACAATTCAATTTCATAATGCCTCTAACTGAATAAGGAAAAAACCTGTGGCCTATTTTTTTTCAATGGGGGATTTGCCAATTCCCCCAAATAAAATTATGAAAATGAAAACAATTATATTTTAAAATAATTAAAAATAAGAATAGAATTAAAAATAAATTGGCCCCACCTACTTTTGAGGCCTTCCTCTTCCTGTGCCAAGCCTGGCATGACATCTACGCTGAGACATTATGCATGTCAAACAGAGGAAAGGAAGAGCAGGGTTAGGCAGCTTCTTGCAATGTTAGCTGGGAGGCTTCTGAGACTGTGACTCCCAAGGAAGCGGAGAGGCTTTTTTCCAACCCTTGTGGACGTGTTCCCTGCCTCTCTTGGCTAGTTAAAGGGGCAGGGAAGTGGGTCCAGGTAATTGTTGACACCTCTTTAGAAGAGAGGGCAATACTAGCAACTGTGAAAGAGGTACTTATCTGTGTCCTCTTTAAAAGGGCTGCCTTGGGCCTTCTTATACTCATCTATTATCCTATATCCAAGCTCCCCAATATCCTTGTTGGAGAAACAATTACAGAAAGCCCTGGAAGAAACAGATTATCTGAACTCATGGCAATCAGGATTCAGGCCTGAGCATTGGACCAAAATGCCTCGGTTGCCTTTGTGGATGACTTGTGATGGGATTTGGATGGAGTGTGAATGTTCTTGTTTGGTGAGACAGTGGCTTTTGATACCATTGGCCACAGTATCCTTCTGGGCTGCCTATAAGATCTGGGAATTGCAAGCACTGTGTTACAGTGGTTCCACTCTTTCCTGAGTGCCACTTGATTTTGGCTGGTGGGTGCTTTGCTACAGAGGTGCCCTCAAGCTTGGTCCTTTCCCCCATTCTGTTTAACGTCTATTTGATGCCATTGATTCAGGATGATGCCTCATCATGATGAAGTTGCTATCCAGATATACATCTCCAACTTAGGTTGAATGGGGGATGTGGTGGAAGCATTCCAACCTAGCAAGGTGCAGTGGCTATTTATTTAGAAGCCCTCTTGATTCTGGGATGATGCCATCTTTGAGATCCTCCTGAACCCACAGCTTCTGCCAGAACATAGGGAGAAGCCACCCAGAGTCATATGTTATGAATTGCATAGCCAATGCATAAATAAATTAACTTAAAAAATAAAATAAAATAAGCCATGACCAACTGGAATACCAATTGCAGCCTCTTCTAGAGTTAGGCACATTGAAGCTGGTCACTCACACCCTGTCAGCCCCCTTATGGATTATTGTAATGCACTTTATATGGGATTGCCCTTGTAGATCATGTAGAAATTTCACTTGGTGTGACATACAGTAACTACTATACTCACTGGACAAATTAAATATTGCCTTGTAATACTATTGCTGTGGGAGCAGCACTGGTCACCAATATGTCTTCCAGTGCAATTCAAGTATTACCTATAAAAAGCCTATTCCATATGAATGTTAGGGTCTATTGTAGATTGTTCAAATAATTTGAATGTATTAATTCCAGAGCTGAAGATAAAGATACAAGATAAACTGAGATGCCACCTATGTTGTATCTTTCCTAGGATGATCAGAGTTGTTGAGACTTGGATGGCATGATGATGATGATGATGACCGATAGTCTGTATTTTTATAACTCCAGTGTCTACGGTGCTGAAAGTTTATTGGGATTATGGAAGAAATTTGGGGTGGGGAATAATATTGAGCAAATTTGTCCCAGTTTCTCTTTTAGCTGCATGCTAGATCTGAGATGCCTACTACAATACAGACACAAAAGAAAAGACAGAAATCTATTTTCAGCATTATACAACTCAGATGAGAGTCACAAATACAACTTAGGCCAAGGAATAGTTCTTTAAAAATTGGAAATGTCTGATACTGTTGTTATTATTATTATTATTTAATATGTAATACTATATTAGTTTGAATAAGAATATATAATATTATTAATTTGTTTTATTGTTATTTTTCTTTTTTTTTTACTTCCAGTATATACATATATATGATTGTCAACTACTAGGAGTCAATTTGGTTACAGTGGTCTAAAGTATACACTATAATACTCATCTGTTTAGCAGGTGGCACCATGTGGCTGGCCTTGCCTGAGTCATCAGCCTTGGACATTTCAGTAGCTGAAATTTCCACCAGGAAATCCAAGGATGTAAATAGAGGTTAGAGTGGAAAATTGAACAAACATCCCAGCAGGTGTCAATGGCAAGTCACCTCTCATGGGTGGTCAGTAGATGTCACCTTGAAGACACCAGTGGTTGAATTCCCTTTGAGAAAAATACTACCAGTTTTCTGATATCTTTATGGCCTTTGGCTATTAGTGATAAATAGCTTATTAAATGTTCCCTCAAAATTTCTTTAAATTTCCTTAAAAAGCAAAGCAAATTCCCTGGACCTTTCTCATTCTGTGAGCTTCCTTTTTTTAGAAAAGGTTGGTTTCAAAAAGGCTTTCTGGAGACAAGCAAGAAATTTCTCTGTAACCTGAGCCAAAATAGTTCTTCAGGGTGATGTTGGCCTCATAGATCAAAATAGAATCTATCCTAAATGGCTGCAACATTCAGGTTTTGAATACACTCCAAACTTCTGCTCAAGGACAGACACCATGACTGTTTCTCATAAAGCAAAGCCAAAATATGTTTTTCTTCCATCCCTTCTGCATCTCCAGTTAATATTTCTTACATCCTAACAACTGTTTGATCTTTATTTGTGGAACTGTACTTTTTAGTATATTTGGGGGGAGATCATGCATGTGTGGTGAAGAGGGGAATATGTTATTTCTTTATGAATTGCTGTTGTTTGCAGAATGATGCTTCTTCCTTTAGAAAAAAATAAATTGGGCTGTATGCTTTGCACAGAGGCACATGGATGCTGGAGGTTTGCTTGTATTTATTTATTTATTTATTTATTTATTTGGGGAGATCATGCATGTGTGGTGAAGAGGGGAATATGTTATTTCTTTATGAATTGCTGTTGTTTGCAGAATGATGCTTCTTCCTTTAGAAAAAAATAAATTGGGCTGTATGCTTTG